GAAATCTCATTTTGGGTTGGCGTGTCTCCTCAAAAGATATTCCTTTTGCCGGCAAATAATTAATTTTCAGATCCTTTGATATCTATATTCCCCGCCGTCCGGAATCAAATAGTTTTCTTTCTTTGAATTGTTTCGTTTCCTGAGATAAGAATGGCCTCTGCAAGTAACCCAGTCCACTTTTCAGTTCAAAGACCTCGAGTTTCATCGCTTTATTTGCTAACTAGAAGAATTTCGATCAGCCATGGTTTGTTTAAAGCTCGTTCGCTTGAGCCTAAGGACTCAAGTTTGGCGTTTTCGCCATTGTCGGAGAATGGGAAGCATCTGGGAATTGTGCATTCTGTGAGGCCGTTGGGGTTGGACATGTTTGGTTGGAATCACATCTGAAACGACGACGTTTGGATGAATTTCCTGCTGTTGCTGCTGCGGCAGCTGCAGATGCTGATGGTGATGAAATCAACATCTCTGATGGGTGAGAGACTTCTACGCAGTTCAAACCTTTTTCTTTTTCTTATGACTTGAATTCAACTTTGACCAGATATTGGTCTTTTTTTAAAAAAAGAAGAAGAAAAATTCTTGCACTCGAGAACTTGAGTGTTCAGTTGAACAAAAAGAAGGAAATAGTGTTGTTGCGTGATAAGATCTATTGTAAAAATTTCTTTTGGGGACCTAATAATGGTTTGCGTTCTCATGTTCTGTTCCTGACTTTCTATTAATAATCATCGTTTTTCCTTGTTACCCATTTACAGGACTGTTAAGGCTACGAAGAGTTTTTGGTGAGAGATTTCCTGCGTTGGTTACTGGTTTCTTTTTCTTTATGTGGTAAGGATCTCCTTTGTCTCTAATTTTTCTTGGCCGGGGCAAGAAAACTTGAACTAAAAAGGGCTTTTGATATGGATGATTACAATTTTGAATTTCATGTAAGTATCACCAACTTACTAGATCTCACCTATCGTTGAGTCAGATTTTCACTTAAAATGAATAAAATATGGAGAACTAGCCAACATACCTTTTCCTTTAAACATAAAGTGGTAGGAATTTATATGCTGACAGTGTCCTGTCTTTCATGCAGGTACTTTCTAAACGTGATTTTCAACATACTCAACAAGAAAGTTTACAATTACTTCCCGTATCCCTAGTATGTTTTCCACCAGAAGCGGCTTCATTTCCTCTGAGTCTGTGCGTCTGTGTCTCGTATATTGTACTTATCTGGTTTCCTAATAAAGTAGTGTTTTAGCTTTCTGAAACTCCACCATTGGGTTATTTACTAACTTCCTTTCAATACTATTTGCAGCTTTGTTTCTGTTGTGCATCTCCTTGTTGGTGTGGGATATTGCCTTGTTTCCTGGTCTGTAGGCCTACCAAAACGTGCAGTAAGTAGTTCTTGTTTATCATATACATATATACATATATACATATATAGGTATAACATTCATCATAACAGCTGTTTTGTTTTTCCCTTTTAACCAGCCTATTGACAAGGAGCTCTTGGCATTATTGACTCCAGTTGCATTTTGTCATGCCCTTGGTCATGTCATGTCCAATGTATCATTTGCAGCCGTTGCTGTGTCTTTTACCCACACCATAAAAGGTATGGAAGCTGGGAAGATAAAAAGAAAATCAGAAATTTCTTGCTTTTGTTGTTAAACAATTCCATTCCATTAACATTTTCTTTTCCTGGGTGTGTGTAGTCTTTTCCCATCATGCCTGTGCTACAATATGATGATTATATTGGAATTATTTTTATTATAACTACCCACGTTTTGTCCACTTCACATTGGCTGATGACAATGGCATGGATTGAGTTACTTGCCAAAGGAAGTTTCGTTCAACGAGTTTCATTAAAATATCTTTACTCACTATATCTCAGAAATTTGATTAGTTGGATTTAATATCAGCTTCCAAGGGCCTTATGCACATTTACTTATATTTATGAAGATTAAATAAGCACTCCGGTTAAGCATTCATTCCCAGTTTCTTAATTCTCTATATTTTTATTCATTCAGCTCTGGAGCCCTTCTTCAACGCTGCAGCTTCCCAGTTTGTCTTGGGCCATCAGATTCCATTGTCTCTGTGGCTATCCTTGGCCCCGGTTGTTATTGGTAATTCTCAAAGATAATAATGTACTATGTGCATTTTTTCTTTTTGTCCTGTATGCTTAAACATATCTGTTTTGCTCAAATAATGGCCGTTTCTTTAAACTTTATAACACGATCTGTAGCTGATGAGAGCTTTCCCTTCAGGTGTGTCAATGGCATCACTCACTGAACTGTCCTTCAACTGGACTGGGTTCATAAGTGCGATGGTTTCAAATATAGCGTTCACTTACAGAAGTATATATTCAAAGAAAGCTATGGTAAGGTCTTATAGCACCTGACTCTTCACCTGATCTGTGTATTGCAGTTTTTTTTTTTTGGGTTAATATTGCGGTTCATTTTTACGTTGCCTGGGCATGTGCGTGTGTACAATTTCAATTTCCTTAATTTTATTTGTTCAATTATTCATGAATTGATCTTATGGGGATTATATAGGGAAAAACAGATAATAATAGTAAATTAGCTCATACTTAATGCTTGTTACTTAATCTGCAACATTAAGTACTTTCAGAGAAGTTTTCAATAGCACCTGTAAGGGCAATGATGAATCAGAGAAGTAAGTCAGTTTCTTATTTCCAAAGTGATTCCAATACATTGAAGATTTATCATTGTACATATACTAAACAATTAAGCCTTAAAACTGCAATCAAGTACTTTTAGCCTATGTGGAAGAATAAAAGTCCTTCGGGTCCGTTTATGTGAGTTAACTGGATTGCGTTAACTCAATCTCAACCTTTTGGCCTATGTGGAAGAATAAAAGTCCCTCGGGTCCGTCTATGTGAGGTGACTGGATTGCATTAACTCAATCTCAACCAGTTATTTCATCAGACAAGGATGTAACAAAGAAGATTGTGTCATTAAGACTTACGCAAACACTTTAATGGACTTAATCCATGTAACTTTATCAGATATATACACTATTGATCATGTTATATCTAAAAAGATCAATCATGTGACAAGATCTGCTATATAGGCGATCTATTTTGACTTTGACGCAACTCTTGTAGTCAATCTAAATGTCAGGACTTCTAAAGTGAGGTTCAAGAACAGAACCAAGCTGATATAATTTGATAACTAGTCTTTTAACTAGTGTGTTTATTTTATTTATTTATTTTTTCAAACAGACAGGAATGGACAGCACAAACGTATATGCCTATATCTCTATCATTGCCCTCTTCTTTTGCATTCCCCCAGCAATCTTCGTAAGTTTATCTGATGCAAGAACTGAAGGATGATTCTTTTTTCCCCCTGTTGTTTCTCTGTAAGTTTATTATTAATTGGATGTTGGCTGCTTCCAGATTGAGGGTCCTCAACTTATGGAATATGGTTTTAGAAATGCTATTGCAAAAGTAGGCCTCTTCAAGTTTTTGTCTGACCTGTTTTGGATTGGAATGTTTTACCATCTATACAATCAGGTATCCCTTATGCTGGAATTTAAAACTTCAATATTACACAGTCTGATTGATGAACTTCCACTAACTCTGAATATAAACTTTATAATATTACACAGTCTGATTGCTGAACTTCCGCTAACTCTGAATATTACACCTACAGCTGGCTACTAATACTTTGGAACGTGTTGCACCATTGACACATGCTGTTGGAAATGTATTGAAGCGAGTTTTTGTCATCGGGTTCTCTATAGTGGTTTTTGGTAATTACTCTGGTTTGCTCATAATTGGAAACTTCAGGGAGTGGATTTTCTACATTTCACTCTCCTGATAGTTGCAAACTTGTGCAGGCAACAAGATATCCACCCAAACTGGCATCGGCACTGTGATAGCAATAGCAGGCGTTGCCATCTATTCTCTGATCAAGGCAAACATGGAAGAGCAAAAACGGGTTAGTTTTTAGTTTACTTCTATCTTGCAGCTTTGTTTATCCCATTAAACGAAGCTGAATCCATGGCAACTAGTAGTTAATCTATGGATCTGTCTTCAGAAAACAAGCCAGTTTAAGCTTCTTGTTGAAAACTACTAACACAGTGGAATTTGTTACTTGAATCCCAAATCATCTTCCGCTGAACATTGCATGTTCTCCCTAGCTTGGTAAATGTAGACTTCTACAATCCCTGAAAGAGATTCTTGGGCTGATCTGGTCTGCGAAATTTTATGGGGCTCACTTTACTGAATTACTGTGCTTTCAAATAATTTCAGAAGGCTGCTGCAGCTGTTTCATCATAAGGCTCGACCATGTTACGTCAATGCAATGGCAGACGCAAGTCATGTGAATTGTATTATATACGGAGGCGTATCAATATTATGCATAGAACTAATGCTTCAGACTAGCCAAGCTTTTGATGTTGAATAGTGCCATGAAAATAAAACCCCTTAAGAAGAACATTGGATTATGGAGCATATCCATTAAGAAATATGGGTTTGCATTTTACTTCTTCGCTCTTTATTCAATATGATCCACCAAGCAAGGGGAGTCTAGCTGCAAAATATGACTGCCACTCACTAGCATGTTTTTAGATTAAACCAATTCATGTGCTAACTTATCAACTCATAATTAACATAATTTGATTTTACAAAGATAGACCTCCTCTCATTAGATTGTAGGAATCTCTTGTGGCCTGATATAATGAGTATATATACTTTAATATCATACCCTGTGCCTCCTCAAAATAATGAAATATAGACATGATTTTTGAAAAATGAAAAACTGAAACTTTTTTGATGTGAAAAGCGAATACCAAAGTTGCCGTACTGTGTGTTTTTGTGGTATCAATAGGGGTTGGTTGTTGTTATTTTGTTTCTTCCATTTTTATTTTTCTCGCTTTGCTTTCATGACATACTTTTAATGATACACTTTGAAGGAGATAAATGTTTGTTGCCTTAAATAAAGAACGATTTTTTTAATTAAAAAGAGCAAAGTGCCATTAATAACAAAAAGTCATTGCAATGTAGATTTTAAAGAAGTACAGGAACTTAATAAAGAAATAAGTGAAGGTGACGTATATTAATGAAGGCTAAGGTGCACCCAACACCCTGAACTATTTACCCAGGTGCGTCCAGTGACTTAAAGTAATTTTGGGCGTATCCAGTGTCCTAAACTAATTAAAATGGTGCGTCCATATCCCAGGCTAACAGAAATGTTATGTTTAACTGTTACTTTCCTGACTCAGCTTAAAGTTGACCCCAGATATTCTAAATGGTAAACATATGGACAGTTGATATGTATTATTCTTACTCAATTGAATTTATTTCCTTCCTCTTCTTCTAAATAAATTGACTTTTGAGTAAGAATAATACACATCGGGGTGCCCATATGTCTACCATGTAGAATATCTGGGGGTCAACTTTAAGGTGAGTCAGGAAAGTAACAGTTAAACATAACATTCTGTTAGCCTGAGATATGGACGCACCATTTTAATTAGTTTAGGACACTGGATGCACCCAAAATTACTTTAGACTACTGAACGTACTTGGATAAATAATTCGGGATACTGGGCGCACTTTAACCCTTTAATGTAATGAACCCTATATGAAAATTAACGAAGTAGTCCAATAGGTGCAAAAGATCTTACTCGACAATGCTGCTTGATCCTTTTAAGGATTGTTTGCAAGAAATTTGCCTTTTTAAGGCCCATAGATCAATTGTTTTTGATTCATTATCAAACAAAAGAAATTGAATAATCCATCGAGAGCTAACTCTCATACACTTGAAAGCCAAAGAGGAATCACCATAAGTTAAACCTTTCCATATAAAATGATGTACAAGTTGACTATGGAAATATACCCATACATGACAAAAACCATTTCTTTTATGTTTGACATAACGTAGAATGATAGTCCGTCTAGAGAAATTAAGATGAAAGCAAGAATTTATTGATGGGTAAGAAGGAAGAGTATGATTGGCCTTTTGAAAAGATGAGTAAACTATATTACAAAAAGAAAATGAAGATTTAATCTCTTCAGCAACTAAGGATTAGTAGTTTTTTTTCTCATGTAGTACCAAATCACATTTGAGCCGTATAATGTTAAGAAGTTATGATATTAAATTCTAACGTTCAAACTGCAATATCATTGTGAAAGGACAATTATAGAACAAGTGAAGAAGAGATTTCTCTTTTTGACATCCAAACAAACATCGTCCAACCCTGCCTAACCATTGAATTTGATCAAGCAAGTTTATTAAGAAGAATAGAATCTTTAAAATACATTTAGCAATACAAGGGGCATACAAAGATCTAATTAGTGAATTATTCCACTAAAGAGGATTCCATCTGAAGAGATCATGCTTTAACAAATCTGCAACTATCTAAATTTCTCCAACATTCTATTTGAGATGGTTGATGATTAAGCCCACATACTTAATTATGTCTTTCTAAATCCAATGATACATTATAAAGCTGTTGACGAGGGGGCTCGAGATAAATTAACATATTTTGCCTTCAAAATACAAGCAGTAAGAGAGGAAGGTGGTGAGTCAATGATTCTTTTAACATTTCGTTATAGCTTTGTGAAGCTATCAACTCAATCCTTGACTTGTCCATCATGTCACTAGTGAGTCATGTACTGTTGACATAAAGCCAACTTAAGTGAGATTAAAACGCCACATCACCACACTGTCATCTCAGTCAAAAAGTACCTATCTATGTTTTATGTGTCTCAGCAAGAAGAGGCATGACCTTAATACTTCAGTAGTTCAGCTTTTGTGATCATATTTTGTCTAGATGTTTAGCTCAATCTAACCCACATAAAATTTTGGAACATTTTCAGATGTAAAATTAAAGATGCCAACTTCTTATGTTTGTGTTTCGAAGTTAGTACTGGTTATGACAGCTTCTTATTTGTGTTTCTAAATTAGTGCTGGATATTATTTACTCAAGTATCATCGAGTCCAAAAAATAAAAATAATAATAATAATAACAACGTTCACAACTTGCGCTAGATTTCACATTAAATACTCAGTCTGGTACTTCTTATATAAGATGTTTCCTGTAAAAATAAAACAAAAATATATAAATATTCTACACTTGGTAGTTGGTATTGAATTGAATGTAAAACATCTGCTCATGACTCTCAAATCAATAATTAAAATTTTGAAGGGCAAAAACCAAAAGCCAATAAAAAAATTTTAAATTATACTCTTCCGATCCTTAATATAAAACATATTTAACTAATTTGATTAGATTAAAGAAATTAGATAAGTTATTTTATTATAAAAAATATGTCATGTTTTCCTTAAAAAACCATAGTCATCTTTCTTAACATCCTCCTTCTCTTTTCCTTAATTATGATTAATCAAATATCCATAAAAATAATTTAAAAAAATTAATAAATATGATAAATAAATTTTATATTTAAAACTAAAATCAACTTAAAAGTTAGATTCTATATTAAAGACCGAAGGACTACCTCACTATAATTTGAAATAAGAAACTCTTCTAAAAGACATCTTATAATCAGGACCAAAGAGAGTATATTGTATCCCTCTATCTACATTTATCTATATCCATATCTATATTTTATGTGATTATTAAACTTACAGGAATTCTAAAATTTATAAAAATTGCATCAAGTCATTTGACTTGTAAATAATACTTGGCTTATATTGAGCTCCATAATAGTCTGGAAAACGAAGCTAGTTGATTAGTAATTCCTCTGAAGATATTGAGCACGATGAAGAACTGTAAAAAAAAAAAATTAGACTGCACCCAAAAAAAAATCAGAAGCCACTGAGAAAAGAATAGTGGCCATGTTTGTCTTGACATTATCTTCTGTATTTGGATGTGGCCTACAATTATTAGCACATTCAAATAACTGCCTACAAAATGCACTTCTTAACTTTCTCCGAGAACCAAAACTATAGTTAACATCCTCTTCCAATTCAATAATACAAAAAAGAAAAATTGCAATAAATAAGCTATTCTTTCCTCATGCTGCCCCGGCAACCTAACACCATCCAGTAATGTACATACAGGGATTCTCTCGGGAAGGATGCTGCAGAGGATTTGCCGATTTGCCTAGATAACTTAATAGCAAGAAGACCTGCACCATGAAAACACCTGTAGATTGATATAGAGGTTGGTTACGGATCACAAAGCACACGGAACGTATGAGGTAAGATGAAACCATTTATCTTAACAAGAAATTTGAAACCCTATAGAACATCAATGAATGCATATATGTGTGTTTGTGTGAACAGCACACAACTGGGGAGTTTGAAGTTCGAACCAACATGAATGCATTACCACCCGTTATGCCATGAAAGTAAGCAAGGGTAACATTTCAAAATTTGAGCGCACCAGTATAATGTTCCCAAACTTACAATTTAAGCATAGTCCATGCTGTAATCAAGATTAAATATTATGTCCCGACGGGCTTCTGAACCCATTCGAATGTTCAGAGATTTGGCAATGGACTGAACTCTATCATCACTGTCATAGTCCATCTCTCGCATGCATCGCCTTCGAACCTTTTTTAGCATCTCTTTTGAAGGTTCCAACCCAGCAGCGATCTGCAAGCAAGTTGAATATGGGTTATTAGAAGCCTAAAACATTACCACATAATTAGATAAATAAATAGATTACACTTACCATATCATCAATTACAGTCAGAGCATCTTTGACATTTCGGTTCATGAGGTGGGCATCCACAAGCAGAGAATATGACATTACATTAGGCTTTACACCCAAGCTCACTAAGTGCTCAAACACCTTAGTTGCTTCATGTGTCTGCTACGAGAAAAAAAATTAATGAGTCTTCACAAGACAGAAGTGTTCACAGCCTGTGGTCTTGAACCACGAGGCACATTAAGTTTGGAAACAAAGAAAAAGAGGACCACAAAAAGCAAAATACGTCTTTCCCTTCACGTATCAATTCAAATTACAATGCAATGAATCAGTATAATATCTAATGAAGTTTTATCATTTTCTTTCTCCCTTCTCTACCCCTCACCAAAGAGAAGAGGACACCAAAAAGCAAAATATGTTTTCCTTTCATACGTCAGTTCAAATTACAATGCAGTGAATGGGTACAATTGCTAATAAAGTTCTATCATTTTCTTTATTCCTTCCCTACCCCTCACCCTTCCACTAAGTCAAAATGATAAGAGGGGCCAATTTTTGGGGTAACTAACAAGTACATATTGAAAGCACTGCGTGCAAAACACAGGTAAAAATATCCTAAGCCATTTTTATTCTGGGATGTAAGAAGGGATGGGGTACCTTTTTGAGCTTCCCAAATGCAAGCATTAGCGCATTATATGAATGAATATCCGGTGTCAATCCAAAACTGGATCCAATTGCTTCAAAAGTTTGGTATGCACGATCAAGGTCCCATATGTTTGCACACCCTAAAATGATGCAGTTTAGAGCAGCAACAGATGTATAAGGAGTCTCTGCTCGGCTCAAACTTTCCAGTTGAAAATAAACCTGAATTACATGGATGTAATAACCTTAGATGACACTGCAGGTGAATATGTCATTCTAATATAATAAGTAGATTACATGTAGCAGCCAACTTAATCTAAGAAGGGTGCAGACTATGTTTCAAAAAGATGAGTATAAGTGTGATTGCAATAAATTAAAATGAAATTTTCTTTGA